CCATGCACGATAGGCCTTTTAGACTAACATGTTTTCTAATAATTCATATGACATTCCTTTGTTGAGGAAGTTTCCTTTGTAATTTTTATGGAGATTTTCTGTTAGAGTTTTCAATGCATTTATCTCAAAAATACTCAAGATAGGTTCTGTTGTGCAAAGCATTGCATTATTACTAGCTCTGTTAATTTGAAAGAGAAGCATCATTACTTTTTTCTTTAAAAGCCAGCCATCTCTAACAGGAGACTACGAACATCATCCCAAACAGCTCCTCAGATATGCATCAGAGCTCCAAGGATTGAAGGACATTAGGAGGTTGTTACTATGCTGTTAGTAAAATACATAATTAAACTGTTATCCTTACAAGGGTCCTATACAATCTGTTCTTTATGTTTCTGTAAAAGATAATACTCATTTAAGACAGACTCAAAGACAGGTATTATCTCTTTACAAAATTTCTGGATCATCTGAATAAGCTCAAGATTAGAAGTAAAAGGAAAAAAAATCAAAGGTGAGTTACAAATATATCAAAAATTCAGGTCTTTAGGAACTGACATAAAGCATTTAGGAACTGGACATAAAAATAGATTCAGTCTTCAGAAGACAGATTAAAAAAGGGAACAAAAATCCAAGTCTTGATGGTAGGAGAAGCCGAGAGATTTATGTCAAACAATGTAAAGAATAATTAGAAGGGCACAGAATAAAGAAATAGACTGCGTTTATGGTGTCTCAGGGTATTTAAAGTTATCTTACAAATATTTTAATGCACTTCAGACTATGCAACACATACACGTAATCATGCAATGTAGTAAGATATTTCTCTGTACAGTTTTTCTACAGACTGATTTTGATTATGGTTTTCAAAATAAATCAGAGTAATTCAGATCAGAAAGGAGCTAACAGGTCATGGGGCTCATTTTGCCCCTATTTCAAATCGAATTAACTTTTCCTCTGTAATATTCATCTTGCAGATCTCTTACGCACCTAAGCTGCTTGCTTAATTTTTCTTCAGCTGAAATAAGTCATTTACAAAGGGACTTCTGAGACCAAACAGGTTTATGCAAGAAAAACATGGGCCATGCACCAATTATGGCAAATGAAGTACACTTGAACTTTAGAAAGATACGAGTCTCCTTTATGATGACATCTCTGGTGGCTTGGTGGAAGACCATCTGATAAAAGACATAAATGATCTGGCAGACAAACTCATCATCTTCTTGTTGGGCTGCAAAGGCAAAATACAGTTTCAGTTTTCAAATGTCACAAACAGAACCTCTTGGCATTTACAGAAACATCTAGATTTTACAGATCAGCTAGACACTTCAATACTATACCTGTGTGATTCATCTTCTGGCAACACCAACTTGTCTTCTCCCCACTCCAACCAAACTAGAACACCACAGACCACAGCCAGAAATGTACAGATGTGGTAACAAACTAGCTAGACCACTAGCCAGAGTTTTTATCAGTAATGCAGTAATTTTTCTTCTTTTCATAAAGACACCTTCCCCTATTCCGCAGATGAAAAGGAATGGTGCAACTGAGTGTAAAAGCAGCTATATATAGCACCTTGCCATCTCTGAGAAGCAAGGCCCAAAAATCAAAGTGCTCAACATACCATTTAGAAGCTCGATGAGTGCAGGAATGATTCCAGATTTGGCTAACAGAGCAGCACAAGAGTCATCCATAGAAACTGTTCCAATCATTATCACTACTTCCAAAACCAGGTCATCTTCTGCAGAACCTGGTAAGCCAGATAGCAGAAAGCACTGTCCTTAGAAAGGCTTAACCTTGTGTCAGTTGCACTTTATTGGCACATACTTTTCAATATTATGTTCCTTAAAAGAACCACAAATAGAAGGAAACAGACTCTAGTTTGAAAGAGTAACAAAATTTGTGCAGACCTGGCTTTAGTTTATCCTTGAGGTATGGAACCAGTGTATACTCTTTAAGCACAAGCTCCCAATCGAGATCAGGTAAAGTCAAATTTGCAAGTGTTCCCAGGCATTCAATCACAAATTCTTCCTCTTCATCATTTGATATCTGAGCTGCTAAATCGCCAACATAATCCTGAAGAAAATATAGCAGCAGATAGACAGTAAATGTATTAGGTAGTTTTGAAGAACTTGCATCATTGTCAAATCAAAACTAGTTCTCAAAAGCAGAAGAGGCTAGTAAGACAGTTTCACTACCGGCTGAAGAATTATTCAAGAACTCATTGTCAAATCAAAACTAGTTCTCAAGAGAAGAGGCTAGCAAGACAGTTTCACTACCGGCTGAAAAATTATTCAAGAAAACATTTGAGTACTCTTCCTCTCATTCCTTTTGCTTTCAAGAGTTATGAATCATTTCTTCAGCCAAAAATAGAAGGTACTGACTGCACACACCAACAAAGCTTATGAAAGCTGCTAAAAAACAAGAGGAATGAACACTGGGAGCACTATACTGAGTGTCAGGAATGGTTTCTTCTTCTTAAAGACTGAGAAGTGACTACAAGGTTCAGGCACAGGGTTGCCATTAGTTTTACTGACTAATAGTGCACTGTTTTAAGCCGATTTAATATTCAATGCTCATTTTAATAGTACACTTAGTTTTCAAAAAGGGGCATCCTATTTGTGAAACTAATAGGAATCCAGCTAACTGAATATTCTGCATTCAATAGAGTAATTTTACTTCGGAATTTAGTTCTAATGATGGTGCTGGACAATGAGCCCAAGACAATAACATTCTTTCAGAAGAGGGAACTTCAAGTGTAAGCAGGTGTTATGTGACACTTCTTAAAACAGACCTGAGTACCTACTTATACAGACAGCTTGGTACAGTTAAAAATCCTTTATTTTGCCCTATCTCTAAGAAAATAAATATATGTAAGTTATTTTTGGAACAGGAACTTAACAGATTAAGCTGAAGACTCATTTCCCTGCAGTAAAGGATCCGAAGATGGATTTATCTACTGAAATAGCTTTACAGAACAATAGTACTTACAATAAACAAGCTTTTAGTTGGCCCATCGTGTTGTGAAATATTCCTGATCATCTTCATTAACAAGGGGTCCTTAAATTTCAGGGCCCGCTTCATTAACATTTTCAAACCATTTCCTGAAAAGAAACAGCCACTTAATAAACATAGCAATATCTTAAAATAAAAGATGTAAAGAAACCAGACAGCAATTATGCTTCCAAGATTTACTTAGAAGGGAACAATCTGCTCTATTCTGTAACTTCTCCAAAACAGCTACTATCTCCATATATATTGGTGGCACACTTGCATTGTGTTACATCAGAGAAATATCTAAACACTCCACGTGCAGATTACACCTCCAAAAAAGTATAGCACACTGTTCATTTCCATTATTAGGACAATTCTACATATGAGCCCAGCATAAGCTCTAAACTTTAAGCCCACAAATTGTCCCTACCCACCTTTACTTCATGAAAGGACTACCAGCACCCTATAGTGAGTGGAGAAGCACCACAGCTGTTGGACCTCTGCACTTCACTCCATGGAATACATCATTATGCTTTACAGCATTATTTACCAGTCGAAAAGAATATAATGGAATCTATTACCTGAAAATATACATGTAAAACCACATACACAGACTCAAAGTATCTGACTTGCCCAGGACAAGTCCTACTTTTATGTTTCAAAATGATCATCTCTTCTTTTTAATAAGTTCTAATTTGATTTAGACACAAACACATCCTTTTAATGCAAAATTGGATATCCTTGCTTCCTCTTTTAAATGACTATACACAGAAGTGTTAAGTGAAATTGCAGGCCACGCAAATCATTGATTGCTATTGCCCCTTTTCAATTTACATTCTAGTAATTTGTTAAAGAGGTTAACAGGGAAATTTTGAGTACACACACAAACAACAGGTACTGATTAATAGCATGCTGCTTAAACTCTAACTATGAAAATAATAAAACCTGAAGAGCAATGCAAAGAACTAAGGAGAGGGCAACTTTGAGTTATTGAACAAAAGAATATACCATCTATACCCCTATACCATATTCATACCATATAACAAATCACTGGAACCTCCAAAATGCCTTTTTTCTTTTCAAAGAAAAGTTACAAGTAGAAGTCATCACTGTGCTATTAGTTTGATTTTAGCAGCTGAAACATTAGCTAAAGAAAGATTTTAGAACAAGTAGAAAAATCTTCGTTTCTGTATAGCCATAGTTTTCGTGTCACCAGTGTGTTTTACAGAACTGCTTGCATACACGATAGATGTGGGCAAGCGTGGCTACTCAGTGTCACTTTTGTCACCGAGTGAAATTCGGGAGGGATCTGGTCATTTGCTGGCAATCATTACTCAAACTATTCATGTATATCTTAGAGCGCTGCCAGCCCCAAGGAAGCAGTGAAGCTTAAGGACATTTACCTTCACAGATAAGTTGCACATTTCTTTTGTTAGCAGCAAGGTTAATACAGAAGGAAATAAGTTCCAAGTCAACTCGCTCATCAGGACACTCAAAGAGCATCTTCATTAACTGCCAAGAAACACAAGCAGTCACTCAATCTTTCCAAAGCTTTACAAGAGAAGCAATGCTATTATGTCAACTATAGAATTTATTTTAAATATTCAGCATTTCTACAGACAAGAAAACAATATAGGTCAAGGTCACAGGATGTATGAGTCCACTATTTAGGGATAGCAAAATTTCTAACATGCAAAAGGGGGATTTTTTATACATAAACTTCTAAGGGGCTTTGCTTGTCTTGAAATCTTGGTAAACTTAATACAGAAGAACTGCTAGTTCTGGAAAAGCCACATTAAAACCTCATTGTTTAACAAAATAATGACACTATAAACAGATATGTAACCATAGAATAATTGTACTACTGTTATGCTTTGAGATTTCTCTGTTGACAGGTACATCAGGCTGTGGTGCATCTGCAATGTGTTTCATTTTTGCAGCACTCATTGCTGGAGCTGGACATTGCTGTATGCCAGCCAAAGACTTCCCAAAGGTGTTCCCTTTCTTCCAGTAAGGAAGGAAACAACCTAGGGTAGCATAATTAAATAGGCTGTTACCTATAATCTCCTTAAACAGTAAGTTAGTGAAAGTCAGAATTCCTGGAAGATTTCACAAGCAAATAACCTTTTATACACCCAGCTCCCCTATTATCCATTACAGAGTATCGATTACAGTACAGGCCAGAGAGCTACTCTAACTTTGACCATTAGAAATTTGACACTTAAAATTGGCACATTGAATATGTGATGCTCAAACACACCCATTTGTACTTTTTTCCAGCACTACAGCCAACAGTTGGGCATCATTTTGCTCCTAAAACCTGCTCGGCTCATAAGACATGCCAAAATTATAACGCACAGCAGTGTGATGACAAGGCTTGAGATTACCAGAAGTAGAAACAACTGAGCAGAAAGATAAGATCGGGCATAAAGCACCAGACGCACAGCTCAGCTGCATCAGAAAGAGTGAGGGGAAGAAAGCAACTCCTCTAGCCATTAGATATTGGAATGCTTGCCCTCTGGTGGCAAAAGTTTTTTAATGCATTAAATATGAAAGAAAGTGGGTAAGCAAACCGTTTGGAAAAAGAAATATAATTGAGAAGAATATGATTGTAAGAATGACACTCCACAACAATTCACTGCAGCAATTCAGTACATTTATCTACAGCCAGACAACAGGTTGTCATTCCAAAGGGACCCCCAGATAAATAAAATATATTTAGGTTGCAACATGGTGATTAATGTCTTTTTCCTGGGGTTTTAATGTACTGATTTAAAAACTATCACTGAGTTTCTACCTCTCCTCCCTGAAAAGGGAAAGATCTCCCTTGGTGAGTTTAAAGACTCTTAAAACCTTTAGTTTGTTAAATCTATAAGCCTGATGGTCCCAAAAGGATAAGGAATTAAGCAGAAAACATCATATCTTAAATGCATAGAACATGCCCACTCAAATCCCCCCCTTGCAACTCTTCAGCTGCAAACCTTTAAAAGGAGATTTTCAAAAATCTTTCAAATAATTTGAAGGGAATCATTCCTGTTAGTTACACCATACAAAATATGCAGAAAAGAGATGCCTAATTGGACAGGATTACATGTTAATTACTGAACTACTTCTCCATAAAAAGAAAAAAACCCAGTTTCAATTAAACTCCATTCAAATTTTAAAATAATACTTTCGTACGAGTTCCATGTTTCCCATTATGTCTTCATTTAATTTGATTGCTTCTTGTGCCACTTCAAAAGGAAGAGTAATTGCTGCCAAATAGGAAATATTAAAATTAAATTTGTTCTGCTTTTACTATGTCCATTGTCATCTTTTACTGATTTAACAGGAAGGCAGTAAAAAGACTGCAGCATATGCAATGAAGAGGCAGTAGTGTTCAATCAGACAAGTCCCATATTGAGTATCAGATACCACAGACCAGGGCTGAAATCACTGTGTCTAGACTCTCTGGCACCTGCCTTCACTTATTTACCAGTGACCAGAGGCCAACCCCCACCGCTCTGTGTTCACATACACCTCTGTCCAACCCCCTCCCCAGCGCCGGCTCCAACATCTTTGAATGATTATGCCAGAAGCGGCTGCCTCAGGAATCTCTCCTGCGCGGCTACTCCCCAGCTCTGCCGTTTGAAGTGATGCTCTGGTTTCTGAACTTCGGCAGATAATGGTGGACAGGAGCAAAGGGGGCTGTCAAGAGCGGACGTTTACCAGCATTAAGCTGAAAAGAAGCTTTAGCAAGATCAAAGAGGGGCCAAACGGGCCGACCGCGGCGGAAAACATGTGGGTAGCCGCGGCGAAGCTCGCGCGCGGCTCGGTGGTAAAATATTAAATGTGCCCATGACATCAGTGCCGAACCATGCCCTTTGATTGGCCACGTTATTGCCCATAAAGGCTTTTATAAGCATCTGGATGGCATTTGCACCTATTTAAACAAAACACGCATTGCTGGGGTCTAAACAAGAATGAACTGTTAATACTCACTTTTAACTGTTACTAGAGTAGCACCCACTAACTCCTCGGGTCCACAAGGATGCTCAGCCAGGACAGCACGTGCAAGCGCCCCTCCGTGAAGCCTTTTTTACCCACGCAAAACTGAGTACGGAGGACAGACTTTTCCATCACTTTCAACAACAGCTTAACGCTCATTACTGAAAGTCTGCCAGCTTGGATGGGAACCTTTCCTTGAAATATACCTGCCAAAGGGCGCGTACTCTCACCGAAAAGAGACTTTGCCATTCAAAGGGAGAAGTGAGTAGCAGCAAGCCCTTTTTTGAAGGTGGCTTTCTTTCTCTTGATGCCATACCCACTGCCTGTATTTTTCTTTTTTTTTTTCCAAAGTGTTTTGCTACCTTGGTTGTCCAGTCCCAGTTTTTACTGTTCATCAATAAAATTTATACTCCAATTGCCCAAGCTTATCCTTTTTGAAGGGTCTGCAGGTGTGACTGGCCAATAATTACATTGATCACAAACACATCCACAGAATTTAGTGGTTTTAGGCCCAGTCCTACTAAGGCTGTGGGAATCTTTTCTATTCCACCGGCCTTTGGATAATGCCCTGTAAGCATTTACTTTGAGCAGCCGCTGCCTACAGAATGACGCTGCTCACTAAATCTCCAGGTAGGAAATCACTAAGGTTTCCACACAACTCTACATCTGGTACTGGGCAGCTAAGGAGCACACCAAGATTCACTGCAAGCACATCAAAAGCAAGCCCTGAAAGCCAAGCACGCGTCCTGCCTTGGCAGGTGACTGCCCAGAACAAAGCAGGTTCCTTACAATGTGCAATTGCCTTTAAATAAAGTTACTTCTTGTAGCAGAAAACAGTTTGGCAGCATGTTTACAGGAACATTTTGTAACATGCACTAGTGATCTCCAGCAGCTTGCTCCGCTGCTCTCCAAACCCAGCTACTGTATCTGGAAAAACACTACAATTTGTCTTGAAATAACCACTAGAAACACTCTGAAAACTTTCCATTGCAATTTCCCATCCTGAATGCATTTGATGGGAGAGGAAAAAAAGATATCACTGAAATTCTGGAAACGAAAAGCTACTGGAGAACTTTCTACACTTATGCAACACAGACCCTCTCAACTTCAGCCTAATCAGGACTGAGAAAAAGCTTGATAATAGGCTTTGATGTTTGTTTAAAAACAAACAAAACTACCCCCAAACACCACATACATTCCAGGAAGTCTTTTTTTCTGTGCTTGGGTCAAAGTCTATGACTAGAGACAGAGTTATGAGACCAACTGTAGCCTAAAGGATCAATGAAGAGTACTTCATTGCCTTCCACACAGTCTTCATTTCTCCCCTATTGTGCATGGCTGCAGTTAGAAAAAGCAGTTGTCATGCAGCAATGTAACACTGCCTGGCAGGTTTCCAGCTCATATCCTGTAATACCGGAAATGTTGAAATTTTGATACCCTATGGGATCAGAAAAGAACGCCTCCTGAAACGAAGGAAATACTTTCCTCACAGTTCCCCCAAGGACCTACCGTGCACACATTTCAACCCTCCTTTAGCATTCCCAATCTTTTGTAGGGATTCACCAGATCACCTGGATTTTTAGCAACTCACTGATGATGCACCTTACTGGTTAGGAATACTGAGAAAGAATAGCTGTCTCCTATCTTTTTTTTCCCCCCACCCCCTCTCCTGTAGGGCTTAAAAGACACCAGGAACAGTCAGACTGCTCTATTAATAGGTGTCTCGTTATAGACCCAGCAGCAGCTCCGTGGCTGTTCATGCATTCTCCTGTGGGTGTCAGTGTGAGCTGTGCTATGAAGACAGACAACAGGCACCTTTGTGGAAGGATGCATCTTACCACTGCATCACACAAAGGCACATACCTGTGGGATGCAGTCCGTGTATGCAAACATGGATTTAAAGCGATCGTCCATGCTTATGTGATACAGAATACACATTGCCACTTGCTTGTAGTTCTCATTTGCTAGGAGAAAAAAAAGAAAAAACATGAACATAATAACCTGATATTTTAGGTATTAAACAGCCAGCAGCAGAGAGGGAGGGAAGGGATGAAAAGCACAGAATTCCTAGGAATGGAAAAATCTAAGAGAACTGGAAACTAGAATTTCCTTTAGGAAGCCAGGATATGGTTCCTTTATACTAAACGGACACATTTGCATCTTCCTTCAAAATTCAATAATAAAAAGACATGAAGCAATAATTAAAAGCACAGACTACCATATTTGCCAAAATAACACAAATTGCTCTGAGCAAACATAATGAAGTGCTTCTCTTGTGTTTCTTATGAATAGCCACATTACTGACACATTCATTTGTAGTGACATTATAAAACCAACTATTACATGAAAACAAATTGCTACACATGTAGCTTAAGGCTTCCTAAGAAAATAAAAGAAATTTTAAAAATAAATTATGCCCTCAAATTCCATTAGGCTAGGGAAAAAAAGCTCTTTGCTCTTCATACTTCTTTCCATGACACAAAATTTAAACACACAGATATTAGGATTCAAATTTAAGACTGCTCCAATACTTAACACGCTCAGTATTGTTCTTGAGCACCAAACAGACCCTGTATATAAGCATAAGTAGAGAGAGACTAAAATTCACCCTTTAAGCCAAGTACCATCTTTATACATACGGACTTCACTCCCTAAAATATAACTGGCAGCTACTGACTGCTACATGGATGTGTCAGCACCAAGCTGGCCTTTATATATATATATATTTTCCAATCATCTGAAAACTAATTAATAAATTCCTAAGTCAACCATTGTTTCAAAACTTGCTGTAAAAAGGTCAAACCCTGCTCAGTCTCTGGTCAAAGAACAGCTTTTTGAAACATGGGAGTAATAACTTTTTTGCCCATTTTGAGCACTACTGAAGGATGCCCATGAAAAAGCAGGCACTGCAAAAAGACTTCCTTATGACTTGGTGCAGAAGGCATCAATTATTCCCCAAACTGGAAAAGCAAGGGAGGGGCGAGGGCAAGGAAAAAAATAAAGATTTCTGTCAAATGTGTTCATAAAAATCACCAAAGTTTCGGTGGGGTGCCAGAAAGTTGTGGCCCACAAATGCTGGTAGTTTTGAGCATCAGGCATTTTATGACTCAAGGTGGAATAGCCAAAATTGCCTAGAGCAGTAAGGGGAGCCCTGGAAAATAATGGTCTAGTCATTATGGAATCTTCTGGTATTTATGGCAATAAAACATGAATCATAATGAAATCATTGGATACTAAATGTGAGGGTCATGAGTACTTTGATAGGATTTCCACAAGAATTTACCATTAATTAACCAAGTAATTATTTGAAAGTGTTACTGAATTATCCTTAGCACTTATACAGCCATTCCAGAGAAATTGGTCATTCCCAGCTGAGTGCAGTTAATGCCTTAACAAACCAGTCATTAACTGCAGTTACTGATTTTGTGGGAATTATTGTGTTATAAAATACACTCAACAGTTTATAGAAACAATACTTAGGGTTTTTTTTTTTTTTTTGCAGCTGTAGTTCAGCTGGAGCAGTTGGGATGGAAAAATATCAGGCCCCTTGGGCTGTTTTCACAACTAGTTTTCTGCAAATTAGAGAGGGAAATAAATACATGATGGGTTCTGAGTTCAAAATAGCTTCAGATTTTTTTTGCCTTTGAACATTAATAATAATCCATGTGCCTGTTCTGGGGCCCAAAGCCTTAACTCCTTGTCTAGATCTTAGTTAAGATCTAGTTAGAACTAGATCTAGATCTAGTTAAGAACTGAATGATCCCAGCAGCAGAAGCTAAAGAAAAAAGTTTCTAGATCACAAGATCTGCTCCTAGTTCAGACCACAAGCCTAAAAATGAAAGAGTCTCCACTAGCATCACGATAACAACAGAGGATCCCTGAAGTTGCAGAACCAAAATGCACATTTGATTTTTATCAGTTTTAGCAGGAAATGCTGAACAAACACTGAGAATAAGTTATGGGCCTAATTTTCCAAGCAGAACAGTATCAATAATTCACATAGGATGTATTTTGCATCTAATGTGGAGACTCTGATTCCAGTAGAAATTATTTCTACTTCATGTGCAAAGCATTAACTGTCCTACATCAAAAACAGTGGTCAAAGGTAAATGGGTGTTATGGCAGAGTGAAGCTATATTTCAGTTTTCAAGGGGAGATTATCCAAGTTTAAGTCAATCTGCTGCACAATTACGCAAATTATAAAAAATCTAGGAGGAAAGAGAATGTCACAAACTGAGCATCATCTCTATACACCATCTTACACTGCTGCTACACAAATATTCACATTTAAACCAAAAAGCTTAATGCGCACCTCAGCTTCAATCTCATATTATTTTTCATAACCAACTCTGAAACATTTGGCATATGTTATTTCATGTGTGGTTTAGACACATATTGGTTTGATTTACATATGCAAATATAAATCATGTTGGATATATCAGTTCATTTTACCAAGAGAACCTGAAAGTTTGCAAAACCAAAGCTACTAGACCATGTCAATAATACATTATGTTATTAATTACAGTCCAGTAATCATTACTGTGCCACTTGCATTTGAAGTTTGTACGTCTACTATAGGAATGATTTTTTTTTTTTAAAAGATCTAAGCACATGCTATCCAAAAATGGATATTTTTCCTAGGAAACAAAGAAGGAACTAAGGATATTTGTTAAGTCGAAGGACTAACAAATGTTGATGTTACAGGTACAGACAAAAAAACATGCACACCTGGAGCTCCAGACTCAATTTCTTGTCTTGAACTCTATACAAGACAGGCAGGAAAATACACAATAAACACCTTACTGCATCATTACTACTTATAAAAGGAGATTAGGTGGAACCACTGGGTAGACTATAGCCTGGCTAAATTTAGATTTTATATCCTTTCTTGAGGATTGCCCTTTCTGTAGAAGAACCACATTCTTTATATTTAGAATGTCCTAATTTCCACTGTGCTTGGACTCATTTAATTCATTCAAACCGGAAAATTATTGGGTTTTAATACGCATACTAACCAAGTCAAGAGACAAAACGATAATAAGCTCAGAGTAACAAAAAAACAAGAAGTAATAGGATCATTCCTGAAAACGATAATGCTATTTCTTTCTTTACCAAAAGAAGTTTTTGGGTTAGGCTACAACCCAAAACATCTATCTGTTGCTGATAGGCAAAGCAACAGATAAATTAAAAAACAAACAAAAAACACCCATCATTGTCATAATAAACTGAGAAGAGGTCCTTCTTAATTTAGAAGAAATTAAGTAAAAAAATAGAAAACAAAACAAACAAAAAAACACCAAGTGTGGTACTTTCTAAAGTAGGTGGAAAAAACTCAATGCAAAGCCTCTAGCAAGCTATGTAGATGAAATGCTATACAATGAAAAGTAGATCTATGGAAGTTCATACATCTTGTCATATCTGCACTATATTTCATTAAACCATATCAATTACTATTAGTAGAAAATATTTGGACTTAAAAGGTACTTTTCCAGACAAGTTTGCCTGTTTGGAACTCAATGAGAACAGAAGTGGCTGGAAGTTTTCTGTGCTCCTGGCTCTCCCAGGGCACAGGAGAGCTCCTCAGCAGACCAGCCTCACTTCCAAACAGATGAAGCAGCTGCAATATTACAAGATACCCTTGCTCAAAAGGAAAACAACACAACCACCCCCCATGAAAACACACCATAATGAAGGATGCTGTCTTCCACTTCAAGAACAGGATGACTTACCACACCGCAAAAGAAATTGCTTTTAGTTTTTATTCAGTGTTTTCAGTGGAAGTTTCTGAAACACAAAGCCAGTGTTTCAATCATTAAGCCCAAAAAGTGGAATTGCATATCAGTAGTGCTTTTGATTCTCCCAGATAATGAGACTTTACAATTCAAGGAAGTACCATCCCCTATGCCACCAGCACACTTACAGGCAAAGTCTTTGCAGTTCAGTTGCATTCTTCTTATCCCGGAAATACTACAGTTTCATTATTTAAAAGATCATTCACTGATTATCTGTAACAGCTTCTCACAGATCTGGTAGCTTTTCCAAAAAGAAAAAGGGTTAGAGAGAAAAAGATGGCATCTGAGGCCCCTCCTGGGCAAACAAACAGCCTTGCTTTACTCAAGATGCATAAAGTTGTGCTCTCATCCTGCAAAGCATCTGTACGTCAGACACCATCGAAACAATTATCTGTTTGAAATATGTTTGAAAGAAATAAATGTTTGCGTAAGTTAATGATGGTGTATCTTTTTTCCCCACTGAACTTCAAGGGTCTGAAGACTTTTCACCTTGCCAGCTGCATACAGTATCCTGCAGTGGAGAAGAGGAACTGAGGAACTTTAAGTAGCTCTTCTGAGTTAAGATGCTTCCCTATTTTCAAGGAGGGAGCAGAGTCCTCCCTCTTATATATGAACCTGTAAAAAATTTGGGGATCTACGTGACTTATATCAGCAAAATTATTCCAGATGATCCTTTGAAACTATCCCTTGATTCTCAGGCTTCACACAGGGACCAGGGAAGGTGCTTCTCTCCTGCTCCTACCTTGGCACTCATACAAGCTATACAGATATTTTCCCACGGACTGGGAAGCAAAGCAGAAGTGCCTCATGCTTTACAAGGCGGTTTTCCAAGAATTGGGAATTGTTTGCCTCCATCCCGTCATGCTTTAGACATCCAAGTTATGCCCTGCAAAGCTTTAAGGTGTCAACACTTTATATAGCTGACTAGATTTACATTCTACTAATATATTTGCCCAGCAACGTGAAAAGAAACAATTAAAAGAATTCACTTCATTACACAGTAATGCCCTGTAGGAACATGAGGAACAGGGGCTCACAGAATCCTCCCTGCTCATCAGACCAGCAAGCATTTGTCAACTCAGCTCCCACCGCTCTGAACCTCTACCATCTCCAGCACTCCTATCCTTGCTGCTATCTTCCATATTTCTGTTTTCAGTCAACACATGACACCC